CACATGCACACACACACACACATGGCACTGTCCGGAGAGCTGCATGCTGAAGAGTTCAGGGAGTAATGATACCTCGTACAGGAATATGGCCGCTTATGCAGAAGTAAAGGTGTCTGTTAGCTTGCGTGCCTGCACCGAGGTGTACACATGCATGTATGCGGCGACACGAAACATCGAACAAAAGGCTTGCACAAAACAGCTTGCAGCATATTGTCCACTCGTAGCCCAAGTGCTTCCAAAACTTCTTCCAAAACCTGCTTGAGAGACCGTGTCAATTCAACCACATCTAAGATAAATCGGCTGCTCCATCTGCAGCACAGGGACACCAATGGTCATGTCCTGAGCCAGGGCCATGCAGCAGTCGACTGGTTCTACAGCTTCGTTTTTCCCTGCAAAGAAAACAAAAGCCCTTGGCCAAGCAAGAAGCCCTGGCTAGCCTTCCGACCTTCGAAACCCAGCCCAAATCGTCCAAGCAAGGGATGGTGAGACGGCCCTTGGAGTTGTGAGCCAGGCCACATGTTCCGCTCGGAAGCGGCCCATTGTGAACTGCAACAAAATGCAGGACTTGCCGACACCCGCATCCCCTACCTGAAAAGCATCTCGAGACGGTGCGCAGTTTTGTGTGGAGAGCTGTTGGGTCGGCTGGGGCTTCTAACACACAAGCCATCGAGTTCAGGCCCGGAGCCTTCTCCGCGAAACATCTAATTACTAAAAGCTACTGTCCGGCTTCGAAAGACTGGAGGGCGGAGGCCATGAAGCTGGCTTGAGCGGCACGGCTTTGCACAGACTAAAGCATGAGAAGCAAGAGCAAGCACAGGTACAAGACCTCCAGGGTCCGCAACGAGCATCGAGGAAAAGAGAAAGAAGGTTCGCAGTCTGTCAGGACGATCTACCAGACTTTTGTAACTAACGTCTTCCCGACACGCTGACGCTCAGGCACAAAGCTTGGACCTCGACGAGAACTATAGTGTTCAGTATGAGGATCAAATGTGACCAGGTCGGAGCAGAGGGCTCAACCCCTTAACGAATCCAAACTTCTGGCGGCTGCGTTGCGATGATGTACCTAGGTCTTCTTGGCGTCACGCAATCAGACAACATGAAAAATTAGACTCGCACGTGGTAACTTGACTCCCAAGTTGGACATTCCGGGCGAGGGCAGCGAAGGCATCAGGCTGTCATACAGTTTGCAATATTCAACAGTAGAAGCAATAGCAGGAGCAATCGCGAGATGCCGAATGGCGATAGAGGAGCAAAGGTCTTAGTAGTAGTCGTAGTAGTAGTAGTAGTAGCAGTAGTAGTAGTAGTAGTAGTAGGAGTAGTAGTAGTAGTAGTAGTAATAGTCAGAATAGTATCAGTAGTAAGTAGCAGTAGTTCTAATAATCGTGGTAGTCGTAGCTAGTGGTAGCAGTAGTGGGAGTAGTAGTAGTAGTAGTAGTAGTAGTCGCACTAGTAGTAGTAGTAGTAGTAGTAGTAGAGCAGCAGCAGCAGTAGTAGTAGCAGCAGTAGTAATAGTAGTAGTAGTAGTAGTAGCAGCAGCAGCAGCAGTAGTAGTAGTAGAAATAGCAGCAGCAGCAGCAGCGGCAGCAGCAGCAGTAGTAGTAGTAGTAGTAGTAATAATAATAATAGTAGTAGTAGTGGTGGTAGTAGTAGTAGTAGTAGTCAGAATAGTATCAGTAGTAAGTAGTAGCAGTAGTTCTAATAATGGTGGTAGTAGTAGCTAATAGCTAGTAGTGGTAGCAGTAGGAGTAGTAGTAGTAGTAGTAGAGTAGTGTAGTAGTAGTAGTAGTAATAATAGCAATCCTAGTAGTAATCGTAGTATCAGTAGCAGGCGTAGCAGTCGTTCTAATCATAGTGGTAGTAGTAGCTAGTAGCTAGTAGTGCTAGGAGCAGTAGTAGTAGTAGTAGTAGTAGTAGTAGTAGGTATAGTAGTAGTAGTAGTAGTCGTAGTAGTAGTAGTAGTAGTATAATAGTATGAGTAGCAGTAGTAGTAGTAGTAGTAGTAGTAGTAGTGTAGTAGTAAGTAGTAGTAGTAGTAGTAGTAGTAGTAGTAGTAATAGTAGTAGTAGTAGTAGTAGTAATAGTAGTAGTAATATAATAGTAAGAGTAGCAGTAGTAGTAGCAGTAGTAGTAATAGCAGTAGTAGTAGTAGTAGTAGCAGTAGTAGTAGTAGTAGTAGTAGTGGTAGCAGCAGTAGTAAGAGTAGTAGTAATAGTAGTAGTAGTAGTAGTAGTATCAGCAGGAGTAATCGTAGTAGTGCTAGTTGTTGTTGTTTTACTATTAAATAACAGTACTAATAGTAATAATCGTAAAGTAATAATAGTTTGGCCACCCACCTGGCACACTTATAGCAGCTCTGCGGGGAATGAGTCGGCTATCCAAGAGCGGAAGCTGCACATGCTTTTGGGATCATACCGCTGCCCCTGCCAGCAAAAGGCCGTAAAGGGCTGCGCTATTGGGGGTCCCCCGCTACCGCTGCCCCTGTGAAAGGCCGTCAACGGACTGGACAAACACACACACACACAGACAGACACACCCACCCACACGCACGCACACGCACACGCACACGCACACGCACACGCACACGCACACGCACACGCACACGCACCCGCACGCGCACCCGCATCCGCACCCGCATGCGCATGCGCACGCGCACACACACACACACCCTCACACACAGACACACACATACACACGCCCGCACACCCCACCCGCCCGCCGGCCCACACACACACACACACACACATGGAAAGTTAGGATTGGTTTGATTTAGGCGAAGACCTGACCTGATGACCAAAGCATAGCGCCTACTCAGCAGGAACTTTTGACCTGTATTCTCATGGACAGGAATGTCGAAGGTGAAGCGCAGGCAAGATGGCCTGGGACCTGAACCTTCCTGCCTTAATCACAACCGGCCTGAACCCCAACGCACCGACAAAGACAACGCTGAACACTGAAGACCACTGCATGTCGCTCGAGAGGTCCCTCGTTCCAAACGTGGCAATGTGGTGGCTCAGAGACACAAGCACTGAATCAAAAGTACACCGAAACCTTCACTGTAGGGGTTCTCGGCTTAGCCCCGGCCATCCAGAATACTTTCACAGCGGTGACAGCAACCAGCAGCGATGATGAACCATGTACAGCGAAGTCCAGTATGCCACAAGCAATCATTGCAGGTACGTCATGAGAGCGTCCTTTACTGATATCACATTCCAATGGTGCAGTCTTTGTTGGGCAATGCACGCCAAAGGAATTATTGCACCCCTGCTATCGAGATCAGAAAGGAATTGTCAGGTCCCTTGCCCTCAAAATCAGAAACGGACTGCCAAGTGAAGACCCTTGGGTACAGGGCTTGCACGCACACACACACACACACACCCACCCACCCACCCACCCACCCACCCACCCACCCACCCACCCACCCACGCACACACACACGCAAACACCCCGCCGTAGCCGGTGGTTAGCTCTGTCGTTCCAAATAGGCACGATAGTGTAGTGCTGGTAGGACGTCTCGATGTAGGAGACAGACTTGACAACGTTGAAGCCCAAGACATCGTAGTTCTTGCTGGACGATGTCTGGTACGAGGGGTTGGTCAACATGCCATCGTGTTTGCTCGTATAGTCGCAGTGTGGGAGATCCCGGCATAGGACTTGATGCCTGGTGGCAAAACTTCGATAATGCTGTAACAACCTTGGTTGTGGAGTGGATCCACGTGGTCAACGCGATGGGTGTGGGTGCTCTGTAGAGCAAGCCGACCGAATAGGCGAACGTAGTGGTCGTTGTCCTGTCGGGGAGTGTGGTGCCAAGTAGGAATCTGGGGGCTTGTGGTCTAGACCAGAGTCGCGCTGTCACTAGATGTAGCATCCATTCTGACATAGGAATATCCGTCGCCGCGAGGAAGTCGAGTCGATGGATATTGATGTAGGAGGCGTGAGATAATGCCAATATGGGGGGAGGAGGGTCGGATCCAGATCTGAAATGGCTGCGGAATAAGCATACTGACAGAGGATCAACAGCAGTGCTTGCTCATTGTCACGGACATGGTATGTCGGCGTCGGTCCCGAAGCTAATGCACAGAAAAATCCGAAGAGCTGGTTTCAGAGTAGTCGTGGTCGTGTCGGTCCCGTAGTTAAGGTCGAAGTCCTGGTCAAGTTGGATCTGGCAGATGATGTCGTGTGGTGGGGTGGTCCCCGTGCTGTAGTCGGTGAAGTCGTGGACGGTAGTGGCGCTTTGCATTCGTCTTCTTCTTCTGCTTCTGCTATGTAGAGTAGGTGGCATGATAGGTACTCGGATGGCAAGTCGTCGATAATGTCGTCGTAGATTGTGGTAACAGCCGCGGTTGACGGTGGAGCAGGCGGCAAACAGCAGGGGGTCGTAGTGGAATGTGGTGAATACAGTACCGTGGCGCCCCGTGGAAGCCGAAGCAATTGTGGGCGCTGAACTTATGGTCTTGTAGCGCGTGTAAGGAATGCTGCCATTGGCCATACGCTCCATTGATGCCACTCACATCGACGTTGTTGCTGTGTTAGCAGCTGCTCTGCTGCACTGGCACGTTGATCTGCTAGGGGTAAAGGTCGATTGCAATGTCTTGGAATCTCGAAGAACTCGAGAACATAGTTGGCGATGTGTCGGTGCGTCAAGACGAAGCCCATCGTGAAATCCCTTTTGAGCCGACAGGCACAGGACGCATGCAATCAATTCGAGTTTTGAGTCGAGTCAAGTAGGGTTTTATGCACATGACGGTCCACTATTTCTGGCAAATGACTGCTGTCTCGGTGCTGAGTACGAGGTGTGGCTCACTCGAATTGTCAGCGTGCTATTCCTTCATCTCTGCCGTCTTTGAGATACTGTTCTGCGGCGTTGTTCCATATTGTCCCCGTAGAGGATAGCCAGACGTATCAAGTCGTGGGAGCCGAGGTTGTGGCGTCGTTTAGTCGGCATTGGTGTTAATGGCTCTTTGTCCGCCACGTTGACGGGCGATGATGTCGGGCAAAAGCGAACACGTTGTCGTATGCAATCGCGTACATGTACCGCATGGGGTGAGGCCGGTTGCATGTTGGTCCACTGTGTAAGCCAAATAGTGCAGCGGCAGTGTCTCCTCGGTATGTAGTGTCAATTTGTCGTGGCATCGTGATGTAAGAAGCACTGTCTGACAGTGCGAGTCAACCTTCCTCTGCCCTGAGTTGGTAGTGGCTTCCGGTCAAAATCTGGGGGGTTGCGGAGGTTCTGGAGCTCAGTCTCGGAGACGAGGGGGAGGTTCTCAGAGCCAGTATGTCTTGTGCACTCGGTGAAAGAGGACGAGGAAGAGGAAGATGACGATGTTGAGGTTCTGCGGGTGTGCTTCTTGGATTTCTTGGACTTGTACTTGGACTTCCGGTGCGGTTTCTGTTGTTTCTTCTGCTTCTTCACCCTGTTGTTGGTACGCGGGCTCTTGGATGTCGAAGATCTGAACGACGTTGGTGGACGAAGGGGAAGGAGAGGAAGCCGTCGGTGTCCGGGTTTGGTGGAGCAGGGTGGTTCTCGTACGAGCCGTAGGAAT